GTTGAAGATTATCGGTGAGGATGCCCTTATGATAACTTTCAGGACTCGTTAAGGTCATTTCAAGTTTTGGTGATGCCATTCGGAGTGACGAATGCATCTACTACTTTATGAATTTGATGAATGAAGTATTCCAATGATATCTAGACCGATTTGTTGTTGCTATTGAAAAGATTGATAAGACTAGAGCAAAGTATGCTAAACATCTTAAATTGGTATTGCAAAGATCGAGGGAACGTCAATTATATGCTAAGTTTAGCAAATGCCAATGTTGGATGAATCAAGTAGCATTTTTGAGATCTATTATATCTGCTTCAGGTATTCAAATGAATTCTTAAAAGGTAGCAGAAATTGAGAATTTAGAACAATCACGAATCGTGATTGGGATTCGGAGTTATCCTAGCTTAACAAGCTATCATGGACGGTTCGTGAAAGATTTTTCAGTCATTGCCTTGCCATTGACGAGAAAAGAGGTTAAGTTTTGAGTGGGATGATAATTATGAGTAAAGGTTTCAACAACTGAAGTATTTCCTCACTCATGCACGTATTTTAGTATTCCCAGAGAATAGTGGTAATCATAAATTTTTAGTGATGTTTCTTGAATGGTATGGGATGCATGTTGATGCAAATGTTAGGGTGATTACATACGTTTCACGACAAAAGGAACCTCATGAAATGAATTACCCTACTGGTGATTTGGAAGTCATGATTACCATTCTTACTGTGAAGTTATGAAGACATTATATTTGGTAAGAATGCAAGATTTTTACGAATCCAAAAAGTCTCCAATATCCATTACTTGGAAGGATTTTGATATGAGGCAGCGAAGGTGGATTGAATTGTTTAATGAACATGATTGTACGACCAGGGTGATCGTAAAATTGTTCTAGCTAATGCACTTGGTGAAAAGACGGTGGTAAGAATTAATGTCTGGCACGCTTGCCAAGATTGTCTTCTTGTGGATTGGAAATCAACTGAAGTAAAGTTGAGAAGGGAAGATTGAGAAGAAGTTGTAATTGCTAATTTTCAAGTTAAGTCTTTTTAGTAAGGTCGTACTCAAGACTCAAATGGTTAACAAAGAAAGTTAAGAATTAACCAAGGTAAAGAAAGGAGGGAAAAAGAAAGATTGCTGAGTTTGAGGATGGTTATGATTGAACTTGAAGTGATAGTTGATCAATGTACTAAGTTAGTACATTTACTCCAGTGTTGAGTAACAACCACAGTGCAACAGTACTTATATGTTTTATGGAGAAGAGATTTGGGTTACGGAACTGCTGAGTTTTTTTTTTTAGTATGTTGGTTGCGCAGTTTCCGATGTAACGCATAAGGACCATGAAATGTGTCGAGTTTTGCTGATTTGTGGAAGAAATGCTTCTGGATAGAGAAGATTCGATCATGAAAGAGTTTTGGTAGGCCCTGAAACTATGGATGAGTTTTCTCAAAGTATTCAGGTGATTAAGTTTAACCTGAGAGTAACCAGGAATGGCAAAAGAGATTAAGAGTTGAACATGTCACTAATCGAATGTTTAACGTAGATGATCTTATAATTTTGAAGTTTTCACTTTAGAAAAGTATGATACGGTTTGGAAAGGAGACAAAATAAGTCTTAAACACATCAGACCGTTTTTGACCACTAAAGGAATCGATGAAGCTGCATACAAGTGGTGATGTCTTCAGAATTGGCTAAAGTGCATAATGTATTATATTTCGATGTGTTGTCACTAGGTGGCAGATTCGTCACATGGAGTTCTGGTGCAACTATTGAGAATTAATCCGGATTAGACTGGTTGAGGAACCAAGGACGACTTTGGATTGGAAAAAGAATGTATTGAGAATTAAGACAGTGTAATTGGTAAAGAATTTGTGGAGAAATCAGTCAGTCGAGGAAGTTACATGGGAGACAGAAGATTGGATAAGGGATTTGTATCCTAGATTGTTCTTCAATCACTAGGGGTTATATTTGGTTGTTTTGAATTTCGGGACGAAATTCTATTAAGGTGGGTAGGTTGTAACATCCCGTCCCGAAACTAATGAAACGTACATTTGAAATTACAATTTTACCCCCTAGTTCGTTACTTTACGTGTAGTTTTGTGTTGTGTGGTGTTGTAAGACCACACACACACTCATACACTCTCTTTCTCTCCCGGGATTCCCTCACCCTTTGTCTATTTTCTGTCTCTTTCTCCCTCTCTCTCCCGTACTCCTATTTCTTCTTCTTCTTCCTTCAAAAACGTACGGACAACACACAAATCACCCAAAACTTGATGGATCGAAGAAACTAAGGACACCATCGAACTCGTGAAGCTCGTACGAGTACAACCATACCATTTTCAGGTGAGAAATCCTTCGTTTTCGCGTCGATTCGAGGTAATCCGTTTTGAACACTGTTCATGCGAATTTAATCTAGCTTGTTTTTGGGATTTTGAAGCTCATAGATGTCTTAGTGAGGTCCCAAGGAGCCTCGGAGTACTTCGTTGGAGAAGTTTGGACGTCGGGATCATCGTGGTCAAAGTTGGCCGGAGCTTTCGAGGGGTTTTCCGGCGAAACCACGGCGAGTTAGGGGTCGAGACAGGTATGGATGTGTTCGTCTCGTCAATACCTTCATTTTGATATATAGTACGTCGAAAATGGTTAAGAAATGAAGAAGTTATGACACTTTGAAATTTACCCAGAAATTCCGGCAAAACACTATTTCCGGCGAAACCAGTCCGGCGACGCGAGGAAGAAGATGCGCGCGTGGGCAGCGCGTGAACAGGGCGCGTGGGGGCGCGTGAGAGCTCCAAATTGAGTTCTGAAAATTGTCACGCGTTCGTGACGTCGTGTAGATCACCGTGGTATATTTATACACCCAAATTGAGCAACGTATGAGAAAGTTATGGACGAATGTTTGGTGTATGTGCGTTAAATAACGTCAATTTGGTTACTTTTTGTATAGGTGAAAATTATACAAAAGAAGAATGTAACCAATCTAGGGGAGGCTCAGGGACCTACGAGACGTCGATATGATATGTGAGTGGGCAGTTATTTTTCAGTATATATATATATATATACGTATGCTTGACGTATTTCCCAGAAACGTATTTTAAAAGAAATACGAATTAAATATCCTGTCATATATGCATTATATTTATATATGTGCATTACCATAATTATGCATACTGTTGCATGGTGCTGAGGAGGCCCAGGTAAGCTACCTTTGAAATACATTTTATATACGTACGAAATACGTTTGGAATACGATTGAAATACTATCATCACATGCATTAGTAGTGGCATACATTTATATATGTGTATTTGGTGCTGTGGACGCACAGGTAAGTGCCAGGTAAGTGGTATTCCTGTTTGTATTTCAGTAGTAGTTTGAGATGTTAGAGAGCTCATAATCTGCACCCCCGGTGTTAGTGCTCCCGCCCAGGGCCAGGGCACAGTCCTTCACGTGATGTTCACCAGCACCACACGCTCGCCTTGGATCCAAGTTAGGTGCAAGCCTTGTCGGACAGACTACATTAGGTGGTTCCGACTCGTAGGTGACCCGCGATTATTCGCACAGTCTTCACGTGATCGTAGCACTAGAGCGTATATATTACACCCAGTCCTGTCGGACAGACTACATTAGGTGGTTCCGACTCGTGTGCAGATTCAGATGTTGAGTTGAGATTGGAGCTCTATATGCAGCGGTACATGTCACATTAGGTGACTCCCGGCTGCCAGATTATATGTTATTGATGTGAATTACGCTTGAGCATTTATATTTGATTATGAGATTCTGTTGTGGCATATTCTCAAGCATGAATGGCATATTTATGAGCATGAATGATATATCTTTGAGCATGACTGGCATATCTATACATACGTATATATGTTCATTTTCTGGGAAACTATATTTGTTTTACGGCGAGGGGTTAGTATATTCAAAAGAGAAAAGAAGGTTTTGAATAAGTTCGTTTTGCTGACCCACTCAACTTTGTTTTGCGCCCCTCCAGGTTCAAGAATTGAAAAGGTGTGGTGACTACGAGGAAATTCAACGGTGTTCTGACAGAATGGCCAAAAATTAGGACTCACCTTTGGGTGTTTCATCTTAGAATTTGTATCTTTAAAGCTTCCGTACTGTGTAAATGGTTACGTCATTCTCACGTGACGGCCAGCATGCCCTCCTTCGGGACGGGGTGTGTCATGTAAAGAGTAAGTTCGGTGTAGAAATAAATTATATAGATTCAAATAAATTTTTTCTTAACTTTTTTTTTATTTTATTTTTTTATTAACGAAAAGAACGTTACTAACTTATTCATTAAGATGGAAAAAAACAGTACGATATTCAGTAACTTGGTTAATAGAAATTCTTACATCGAAATACGTTATCCAATTAGTTCGGTTGTAAATCTATGAAGTTTAAATACATATATGTGAAATCCAAATCAATATGAGTTCAAATATAATATTAGATTTTTTTTTTTTTTGGGTCAAATGGAATGTTAGATTTGGTAAGTGTATAAATTCAAGTTTTGGAATATGACCAATAAAAAAGGCAAAAATTGTAGATCATTTGGGGCCTCTTATTATTAGATTTATTTTTGGGGCCTCATAAACTTGGGCTCAATCTAACAGTATGACTTTTAACTAATTCCTCCATTCTTTAGAAATGATCAGTCCATGGACCATATTTCAAGTAAACTGAAATTCTTGGACTAGTTGGCTAATCTAGCATGCACTTCCTAACATTAAGTAGCCCAATATTTTTTTCGTTAGATTATATAGATCTAACGTATATCGGCGTTTGTTCCGAGTTAGTGAATCTACTTGATTGTAGCCACATGCATGTTGAAATTTTCCGTAGCCTCTCCGGATCCAAAAGGAGTGGATAACCGTGACTTGTCAACAGTTGTCCTCCTTTTTTTTTTTTTTGAAAAAAAAATGTATATTGGTAGTTGACCATGTCTCTTTTCTAAAATATGGATCAAGAACAAAACAAATGGATTCTCTATGAATGGCACTAGTGCAGTGACTTATAGATCAAGAAGCATAATTAATTAGGTCACAACATTTTCATAATTAAAGGAAAAATACAAATTGTAATTGTTAATTCATTGCCAACTTCCCTGTAAGACAAAGCTTTTTCTTTGCCTACATATATAGTTGTTCTTGTTTTTATTGTCACATATTTTTCTAGCTATTTGAAGTACTACTCAATAATTACTTTGAGCTTGAACTTGTGTCTCTCTGAGATGATGAGAGGATGGCATCAATGGCTTCTTTCACTTGAGAAATATCAGGAGCTTTCCTGCCTTGAACGGGCCAAAATTCATCGGTTGCCAACACCTAAATCATCAAATCTCACATATATAAGCGCTCTAGTATATAGTTGAAGGCATGCAATAGAAACATTAATTTACAAGGAAATTATATATTTGATGTCACACCTTGACTTGTAGTTGAAGAAATTTAACATAACTGATCGCTTTCTCTAACATGGTGACCAAATCAACCTGCAAATATACAAAAATATAATATAAACTTGAAAACCCCAACTTTACAAGACATTATTTCATATGTTGAAGAAAAATACATAAGCTAGTTAAGAAATTAATCCACCTTGCAGCCATTGGGCACCAGTTCTTGCAATATCTTAAGCCGCTCGCTAATCCGCTCTCTTCGATTCTGAAAGACAGATCTTCTTTCATCATTATAAATTCCATTTCATATAGTTTGCTTAAGTTGCACTCAACGAATCAAAACTACAACAGATCAAGCAAACCTTGGCTGCAATACTTTGGGGGTCCTTTGATGGACTTGTTGATGACTTGGGTTTGGGCTTCTTAGTTGCACCAGTGCATTGCTTCTTTGAAGGTTGCATGCTCTCTCCCTGTCAACAAATTTCTTCTATATCAAGGCCATTATTTGTGGTGCACAATTGAAACTATACAAGTTACATGACAATGTTAACTTCCATTTAGCAAAAATCTACTGTTAATCTAGACGGCACATTTTAGCAACAATCAACTTGATATATTATATAGTCGAGATTGACATTTGTCCAACATAACATATGCTAAATTGTTCAATAAGAATTCGTATCGCACGACTAACCAAGTTAATTTTCGGAACAAAATAAGAGAAGAAAAAGGGGAGCTAACCGTAATGGGACGCTTGTGAAACCCCGCTTTTTGCTCGTCCGGTTCCTGGAAGCTATCGGATGCTTCAGAGTGTAACCATCCATAAGCCTCATGATCGCCATGATCTTCTTTTGAGGTGTTGGGGATGGAGCTGCTGTAATTGCTAGCCGTCTGTAAACAACTAAAATCGCCCGAAAGACTTGGGTCACCGATGCCAGCCATCTGATTCCACTGGCTATAACCACCATGATACAAATCACTATCGCAGTCATCTTTGTTGGTACTACTATTCAAGTAAATGCTTTCAGAACTCCGCTTGTTTTTATCAAAACTAAGCAAACATTCACCACTGTTGTAGTACCCACTTTTGAAGTTAATGTGATGATCAGGTTGGTAATTAGATGTGGCTCTAAACACAAATCCATCAGAAAGATCTGAAACTTGAAGGGACTCATGAGTGCATGAGTCATGAGGAGTAGACATTCTAATGTCCTTGGCTAGTGCCATTTCTATAGAGAGAGAGAGAGAGAGAGAGAGAGAGAGAGAGAGAGTAGAATGAGGCTACAGTAAACTACTAAACTAGGTGATCAAGTAGTTAGTTAGCTAGGCACGCACATGCGGAATGACACGAAGAGTGGAAACCCTATTTGTAGGGATTCAAACGAAAAGGTAATATATACATATATATATGTCATTGGTTATGGGTCTGATTGAATTATCATTAATTAAATAAATAATTAAAATGTGTGACACTGGAAGTAGCTATCTAGCAAAGTCTAATTAATTACATTCCTAATGGGAACAAGAAAAGTGTATAAATTAACTAATATTGTGGAGATTGAGATGTTTGTATGGTGTTCATCTTTGATTATAGGTGAAAGGTCACAAGTTCTAGTCTTACAGATAACAATAACGTATTATATTTGTATTGTGTTCGATACTTAGTTATGTGCTTGATTCATTGTACTGCCTAACTTAAATCACTCCCTTGGGAGTAAAAATATCCTTCTCTCGTTAGAGTAGAATATCTTTCTATAAAAATAAAAGAACAAAAACTAATATTGCTGTAAATAATAATTAATTAATATTTTTGTATTGGGATTGTTAGCTGGCAGAAGTGAGGAATTAGATAGGGAGAAGATTAGAAGAAGATAATTTTTCTCAGAGGAAAAGCATGCAGCAGAAGGGTCGCCGGATCTTTCGCCATCCCACGTCGCTGAGATTCCTCCCAGAATTCATATATCACCGTTCCTCCGGAACCTGGACCACTTTAACGTAGCTTCCTACCAGCCTTCCCCTTCTCTCCCATCGGCACGTGGATTCCGGCTGTATTTTATTTGTTTTAATACTATTTTTCACATTCTATTTCTATTTCTATATATAATAATGCATTCGTTATATAAATATATGCTGGTCACTGAATTGGATACAGTTATTGCATGGCCATTTACATTAGGGTATTATCTGGTTTTTAGCTTTTCTTCTCGATTACGAAGCTTAAGCTAAACTTTAAACCCTTCGGTACGCCTAAAGCCAAATTGTCAGTCAATATTTCAAAGTAGGGTTAGCGCCCCACCACTAGTGACACTAATAATTTTCCAATTTAGTAAGTTGGGTAAAAATTTGATTTCTATCTTAAAATGTATCAGTGTAATTATAAATAAAAATGATTTTTTTTTGGTCAAAAGAGCATCATTCATTAAACTATATAATATTGGGTAAAGCCAACCAACCAAATAAATAGATAAGCAAAAACCTACAACAAATTGGGAAAGCTAAACAGACCCAGTGGATAAAAAAAAGACAATCAGCATAACCCTATTTCCTATCTTACAATGGCAGAATGTTGTTGCCGCTGCCACGAACGCCTTGCCAGCAGCCACCAAGGCAGCTGCAGTGGAGAAATTAACGAAGTGTTGACCAAGGCTTCGCAACGCAAAAGTTTCAAACTCGCAGCAGCAAAACAAATCCCAACCTAAGCTCGACATTAGAACCGCCACACTAAGGGAGAGCCACCAGATCCAAAACACCTTCACATAAATGAGATTGTTTAATATAATTAGTTGTAATTTATTTTATCAAGTTTTTATTAAAAAATTGCATTCTTCAACAATTTCGATGTTTGGATATGTTGAGATGTGGTAACCAGAAGATACACTATATTTTCATTCTTTTATGATCTGAGATAGCAAAATCACTCATGCATATTGGTTTCCAACAATTTGAAACGTTTTGTATAAGAGAGTGAATTCGTCATGTCTTTGAGTCTTTTTCATCAATGACATGTTTTAGTTGTAAATGAATTGCCCAACTGAAAGCCTGTATCCCACATCTTGATACAAGTTGAGACTAAATTAAACTAAGCATTCCCTCAAGTCAAATAACATGTAAAGAATATTTACATGCACTGAATATTTGGCTGCCTGTCAAACAAAGTTGGCATCCTTTTGCATATATATGTTTTATAAACCCATTGAAGATCATGGTCCACATGCATATGTTGCGTCTTTGACAAAGACATATGGGGGAAGGAAAAGGGAAACCCCAAGCTGGCATCGGAAGAAGAGAAATTCCTTGTATTGTGTTGTTCCTTACCTTGAATCTCTCTCACTTTCTTTTTGGTCCGAATCAACATCTATTTATTACACAACAAATCATATCTCTCTCTATATATCCAATAATTAAGATCTATATTGAGGCTTATTTTCAGATACGACACATGTACTCTTCACAAAATCTCATTATACTCCCTACATGTTATGTGTCTTTCTTTACCATTTGCATTTTTTTTAGTGTCCCACTTTGCCCTCTACACTATATTATCTCACTTTAAATTACTATTCCTCAGTGTTTTACTTTACCCTATTTCGTCAAATAAGTTAAGAGAGTCATTAATTACATTGAGGTGACATGGACAATTTAGTCTTTTCAACTACGTTGGTTGTGCGGTATGTGAGATGTTAGTGGAACCCATGGTTAATGGAGGTGCATTAAGCTCATGCTAGGGTTTCATTTCTGTAGATTAAGAGAAAAATATAAGAAGAGAAAGTTAAATTTCAAGATTCACGAATCAATTTCGATGTTTTTGGATGTTTTTGCAATGATTATTAGGGAAAATCTTTACATCTATTGCTATCCTCTTCTTTAATTTTCTTAACATTGAGAAACCAAACCTTGGTTTGAGTTTTCTTCCACATCTTTGCACTCATGGGTCTTACTAATATAGTTGAAAAGACTACATTGTCCATGCTATGTTGGCGCAATTAACGGTTCTTTTTAACTTATTTGACAAAAGAGGGTAAAGTGAGACATTGAAAAAGAGTGTAGGTGTTAAAGTGAGACAACATAGAATCTAGGTAGTAAAGTGGAATATAGAGTGTGTGTAATGATAAGTGATAAAGTGAGTCAATATAGAGTACGTAGAGACTAAAATGAAATTTAGTGAAGAGTACTAGAAAAATAAGCCTTATTTTAATGCCCTTTCCCTTAAGTCCTTGCTGGTTCATAATCCTAATTCCATAACCTCTAAGAAGACTATTTATTGATTCCATCTGGCAGTTTAAGTTTCTAATCATTCTTTAATTATATGTTTAGCACAGGTCAGAACTGGTCCCAGTTCTTGGTTAAATATTGAATTTTTCCTTTCTATCTTATATTATCTCTATTATATTGGTTGATAGGAAATAGGGTAAAGTACAAAAAACTACCTCAATTATTGGTGTTACGACACTTTCATACCTCATCTTTTAAAATTGACAATGTCATACCTCATCTTACGAATTTGTGCCAATGTTATACCTTCCGTTAGCTTATCATGAATTTCTCAGTTAAATGCTGACGTGGCTTGATTCAGGGCTCACTTTCTATTAAAAAATTAATAAAATATTATTAAAAACTAAAAAAAAAATCATTTAATATTTTTTAAATATTAAAATAATAAAGAAAAGTTAAAAAAAAAAAACAAAACATTTTGTCCCTTTCCCCCCTCCCTCCCCCATCTACCTGCTGCAAGCCTGCAACCCATAAAACAAAAGAAGAAAAAAAATAAAAAAAAATAAAACTTCATCCCTTCCCACCCTCCCACCTCGTGTCCTCCCTCCCCTATCTACCTACTGCAAGCCTACAACCCAGAAAACAAAAGAAGAAGGAAAAAAAAAAAAAAAAAAAAAAAACAAACTTCATCCCTTCCCCCCTCCCCTATCTACCTGTTGCAAGCCTGCAACCTAGAAAACAAAAGAAGAAACAAAAAAGAAGGGGAAAAAAAAAAAAACCTTCATCCCTTCCCACCCTCCCCCCTGCGACCTTCTTCCTTCTCCCCCATCCCCCCCCCCACCCCACTATTCTCCCCCAACCAAGCCCCTACCTGCAACCCAGAATAATAATAATAATAATAATAATCCTAGTTCGTCTTCCCCTTGCATCCATCATCCGCACCCAGCCTTGCACCCACCCATTGCGGAATCGGCCTGACGAATGGGATCTGGGGTTGTAGAGGGGGTTGATTTGTTTTTAGGGGGGGGGATGAACTGGGTTGGGTTTTTTTTTTTTTTTTTTTTTTTATCTTCTTCTTCTTCTTCCAGGGGGGTTGATGGGTTTTCAATTTTTTTTTTTTGTTTTGTTTTTTTTTTTTGTTGAAGATTACGCAGGGAAGAAAGAAGATAGGGAGAGAGAGAAGGGGGGAGGGGGGTGGATGGGACGAAAGGTTTTGATTTTTGTATGTTTTTTTTTTTGTTTTGTTTTTTGTTTTTTAACTTTTCTTTATTATTTTAATATTTAAAAATATTAAATGATTTTTTTTTAGTTTCTTTAAATATTTTTTAAATTTTTTAATAGAAAGTGGGGTATGGATCAAGCCACGTCAGCATTTAATTGACAAATTAACGGCAGGCTAACGGAAGGTATAACATTGGCACAAATTCGTAAGATGAGGTATGACATTGTCAATTTTAAAAGATGAGGTATGAAAGTGTCGTGACACCAATAGTTGAAGTAGTTTTTTGTACTTTACCCTAGGAAATAATATTCATTAGATAAATTTTAACAGTACATTAAAGATGTTGACAAGTAAAAAATACCAAATATAAAACTAATAATCTCAAAAGTAAAACTTAAGGAGGAACAAAACCACATAAGTGTAAGAGCAGCTCCAGTGGACAGGGGACCTCTTCAACCCCATCCCCTCCCTTCTTTGCTCCAGCCTATGCGGGCGATTGGGCTGGGTTGGGGGGGGGGCTCGTGTGAGAGGGGAGGCACAAGTCCAAGGCCCAAGCGCCTAAGGGATCTTTGATGCAAGGCTAACGTTAGGATGACGTCAGCCACGTTATAAATATTTTTGCGTCAGGCGCATGCATCACACCAGCTCGTGGTGGTGCGTCACCGACTAGATTTCAGTCGGTGGGGCCCGCAGTTTGGATTCGGATATGTTACCGTTCTGGGTGCCACATGGCACCCTCAAGGCCGTTGGATTTCAATGAAATTTTTTTTTTTAAACCCGTTGGATTTCCAAC